TCTCCTCCATGGGCTGGTAAGGCTGTCACTGTCTCATGCCGGTTCTCTCATCTCTGCTCCTGCTGTCTCTTATGCCAGTCTCTGGGCTCTGCTCTTGCCATCTTTCATGCTGGTCTCATGCCATCTGTCCTGCTGTCTGCCGAGGTCTCTATGCCAGGGTCTCAGGTCAAGGATGCACTCCACTCCTGTTTCCACATTTTAGGTATTTGTCAGAGAAGTACCCCACTCTCTCGGTACCTTATTCTGTTCTGGTCACCTACTGCCACTCTGACAAGAAATATATACCATAAATGGGATGGCCTTAACAAACAGGTGTTTATTCTTACAATTTGGAGGTTTTAAGTACAAGTTCAAAATGCCAGGCGCTAGGGGCTGAGGGACCTCAACCTTGGGGTCCAGCTCTGCCTCCTGCTCCCAGCCCACTGGAACTAGAGGCATTTTTTCACTCAGGCAGTTGTGGGCTGCTGAAGCTGAGAAGCCCCAAGGTTGGACAAGTCAAAAGGCACAGTCCTGATGTTACCAATCCACACGGCAGGCCATTAACTTAAGTCCACTGTAAGTCCCAAGGTCGGCAGAGCATAACAGACTGCTGAGCAATGACATGGCTACATGCAGGGTCCAAGGGTGCCAAAGGCTAGAGACCATTCTCAAGCTTCTTCCTTAAATACAGGAAGTAGACCACATACTCAAAGGTACCTACCCAGTTACTTGTGGTAGATCCCACCATGGAGCTGATTGCCAGTCTCCTCATGGGGATTAACTACCACCAGCTGCCCAGCCACTCAACCAGGCCCAGCCAAGTTGACACATAAACTGAACTACTACAAATACCATTTGAATAAAAGGGGTTCCCCTGGACAGAGAGGGGAATACCTTTTTTCCTGTGTGTTCTGTGCAATGTGTACCAATAGAAATTTACCCAAAGCCTCGACAAACATATTCTCATCTCTCTGGTAGATTAAAACCTGAACTCCCCACCTGTATATGAATAGGGAATGTGAAAATCTTCAAATTTATGGATATGAAACAGGTAAAATTCTAAGCATTCAAGCAATCAGAGATCAACATATCTGGCTGAAGATGACTCAAGGTCATTTGCACAATGAACAGCTGGATCATGGGGACTCTTGAAAATAACAAGAAACAAAACTAGGAAAAGGCCAGCAGACTTATTTAAAAACATCCATAATGTAGTAAATTCTAAATCCAAGCCTATTGCCCAGCAAAGAGATACAGACACTGTGGCAAGGAAAGACACAAAGAATCTCCACATAAACAATGTGTAAGTTTCAATGAATGGTTTTCAAGTGACTAATTGAAAAGGAATATAATTAGAAGCTGACGAGAATGTATCTCCTCATTTCTTACCTTCTCTGGTTTCCGCTCAATGGCGATGAAGCATTTTGTTTGACCAGTTATACAGGTCGTGGCCCCTGATGTGGACAGAAGTTCATCAATCAAGTTCACACCATCTTTCTGAAGCACAGTAGCAGTTTTGTTAAATGAGACTCGCCAAAAGACCCTGACATCTTCAAAGGCCCTATAAGTAAATCAAGCCCATACAACTTCAGTAACATATTGTGTGCTTACTCTGTCTGATTGTACATCTTCATCCAAAAGATAACACTTACCTTACCATAGATCATGATGAAAATGACTAATTGTTCTCATTACAGGTAAAAAAAATTAAGGCATTACCATGGCATGCTTTCACCTTACACTATTTGATAATAAATAAGTACTTACTGAAGTATTAAAGGAGCTCTGGTGGCATAGTGCCTAAGGCATTTGACTGCTAATCAGGAGGTTGGTGATTCAAACCTATCAGCCACTCCATGGAATGAAGATGGGGCAATCTACTTTCATAAAGATTTACTACCTCAGAAACTCAATGGGAGTCGCTATGAGTTCTTCATCCAAAAGATAACACTAACCTTACCATAGATAATGATGAAAATGACCAATTCTTCTTATTAGAGGTAAGAAAATGAAGGCATTTCTGTGTCATGCTTTCATCTTACACTATTTGATAACAAGTAAGTACTTATTGAACCACTCTGATTCACAATTGTGGACTTGAGTAATATGTATTTCCAGCCTTCTGTGTATCAAAAATTTTAAAGTAAAAATTATAGGGAACTCTTGCTTTGAAGTAAATACTCATCATCTTTTAGTAAGAATTCTTATAAAGGAAACCACCAGTAGTAAAAATGCTTATTATTGTCAAGATAAAGAGCTCTATTTTAAGGCTGGGCCCAAGGGAGGCGGTTCTGGTGCTCAGGACTCCTTTTCACTTGGGGGTATGTCTATTTTAAGGCCAGGGCCTGAGGTAGGCAGTCCTGGGGCTCAAGGGCTGCTTTTCACTTGGGGGCAGTTCTATTTTAAGGCCGGAGCCTGAGGTGGGCAGGTGCAAAGGGGTTAGGAACAACTAAGGGAGATGAACTTGTCTTTCAGTTTGTCATCCTATGGTGGCTTCCGTGTTGCTGTGAGGCTGGAGACTACACCACCACTGTTGCAAAATGCCAGCATGGTTACCCACAGTGGACAGGTTTCAGCAGAGCTTCTGGGCTATGACACAGTCGGAAGAAGAAAGAGGCCATTCACTTCTCAAATATTTGGCCAGTGGAAACCTTATGAATAGCAGTGAAACACTGTCTGATATATCACTGGAAAACTTTATGAATAGCCTTGAAACATTGTCCAATATAGTGCCGACCCCATCAGATTGAAAGGCACTCAAAATTTGACTGAGGAAGGGTCAACTCCTCAGGGTAGAGATGAGCTTAATGATATGGATAGAGTAAAGCTTCCGGGACCTCTGGTAGATATGGCCTGACTCAAAATGAGTAGAAACAGATGCAAACATCCATTAATTACTGGAACACAGAATGTATGAAGTATGAATCTAGGAAAATTAGAAGCTGTCAAAAATGAAATGGAACAAATAAAGAGCGATATCCTAGGCATTAGTGATCTACTATGCCAGGAATGAGAAATTGAAGAGGAATAGTGCACAACTCCTCGGAAGGAAGGTTGGGCAATCTACTTCTGTAGTGATACTGCCTCAGCAACCCAAGGAGGGGTCACTATGAGTTGAGTCCAACTCAATGGCACACAACAACAACAACAACAGTGTGGCATTCATTGTCACAAAGACTGCTTCAATATATGTCCTGAAGTACAACACTGTCAGTGATAGGATAATATCCATAGCCCTAAAAGGAAGAGCAGTTAATATCACTATTATTCAAATCTATGCACCAACTACCATAGCCAAAGATGAGGAAATTAAAGATTTCTCCCAACTTCTGCAGTCTGAAATTGACCGAACATGCAATCAAGATGTGTTAATTATCACTGGTAATTGGAATGCAAAAGTTGACAAAGAAGAGTTATCAGCAAATGGAAAATATGGCCTTGGTGATAGAAATAATGCTGGAGATCCCATGATAGAATTTTGCAAGACCAATGACTTATTCATTGCAAACTGACTTCACCAGATGAAATACACAGGAATCGGACTCACTACATCTGTGGCAAGTGGCGATGGAGAAGTTCAATATCTTTGGCCAAAACAAGGCCAGGAGCTGACTGTGGAACAGACCATCAATTACTAATGTACAATCAAGTAGAAGACAATTAAAACAAGTCCATGAGAGCCAAAATATGACCTTGATAATATCCCTTGTGAATTTAGAAACCATTTAAAGAACAGATTTGAAAAACTGAACACCAATGACTGAAAACCAGAGGAACTGTGGGATGATATCAAGAATATCATCCATGAAGAAAGCAAAGGGTCATTAAAAGACAGGAAAGGAAGAAAAGCCAAAATAGATGTCAGAAGAGACTATGAAATTTGCCCTTGAACAGAGAGTAGCTAAAGCAAATGGAAGAAATGACAAGATAAAAGAGCTGAACAGAAGACTTCAAAGAGCAGCTCGAGAAGACAAAGTCAATTATTAAAATGAAATATGCAAAGACCAGGAGTTAGAAAACCAAAAGAGAAGAAAACGCTTGGCATTTCTCAAGCTGAAAGAACAGAAGAAAAACTTCAAGCCTCGAGTTGCAATACTGAAAGATTCTATGGGCAAAATACTGAATGATGCAGGAAACATCAAAAGAAGATGGAAGAAATACACAGAGAGTCATTGTACCAGAAAGAATTGGTCAATGTTCATCCATTTCAGGAGGGGGCATATGATCAAAAACCAATGGCATGAAGGAAGAGATTGAAGATACACTGAAGGAACTGGCAAAAAATAAGGCTCCAGGAATTGACGGAATACCCATTGAGATATTTCAACAAATGGATGCCCTGCTGGAGGCACTCACTCAGCTATTCCAAGAGATTTGGAAGACAGCTACCTGGCCAACTGACAGGAAGAGATCCATATTTGTACTTATTTCAAAGAAAGGTGAGTCCACAGAATGTGGAAATTATTGGATATCATTAATATCACATGCAAGTAAAATCTTACTGAAGATAATTCAAAAACAATTGCAGCAGTATAGTGGCAGAGAGCGTCCAGAAAGGCAAACGGGATTCAGAAGAGGATGTGGAATGAGAGATATCATTGCTGATGTCAGATGGATCTTAGCTGAAAGCAAAGAATACCAGAAAGATGTTTACTTATGCTTTATTGACTATGCAAAAGCATTTGATTGTGTAGATCATAACAAATTATGGATAACATTGAGAAGAATGAGAATTCTAGAACACTTGATTGTACTCATGAGGAACCTATACACAGATAAGGAGGCTGTCATTCAAACAGAACAAGGGGATTCTGCATGGTTCAAGATCAAGAAGGGAGTGTGTCAAGGTTGTATCCCTTCACCGTAGTTATTCAACCTGTATGCTGAGCAAATAATCCAAGAAGCTGGACTATATGCAGAACGTGGTATCAGGATTGGAGAAAGAGTCACTAACAACCTGTGATACGCAGATGACACAACTTTGCTTGCTGAAAGTGAGGATGACTTGAAGCACTTACTAATGAAGATGAAAGACTACACTCTGTAGTATGGATTACACCTCAATATAAAGAAAACAAAAATCCTCACAACTGGTCCAATAAATGGCTTCACGATGGAGAAAAAATTGAAGTTCTCAAGGACTTCATATTACTTGGTTCTACAATTAACACCAATGAAAGCACCAGTCAAGACATAAGACAACGTAATGCATTGGACAGATCCTCAAAAAATCGCTTTCAAGTGATGAAGAGCGAAGATGTCACCTTGAAGATTAAGGTGCATTTCACCCAAGCCATGGTATTTTCATTCACCTCTTATGCATGTAAGAGCTGGACAGTGAATAAGGAAGACAGAAGAAATGTTGATGTTTTTGAGTTGTGGTGTTGGCAAAGGATGCTAAGAGTATCATGGTCTGCTAGAAGGACTAACAAATCTGCCCTGGAAGAACTGCAGCCAGAAAGCTCCTTGGAAGCAAGAATGGCCAGACTTCATCTCACCTACTTTCGTCATGTTGTCAGAAGGATCTATCCCCTGGAGAAGTATATAATGCTTGATAAGGTGGAGGGTCAATGAAAAAGGGAAGGCCCTCAACAAGATGGACTGACACAGTGGCTGCAACAATGGGCTCAGGTAGAGCAAGGATCATGAGGCTGGAACAGGACCAGGAAGTATTTTGTTCTGCTCTGCAGAGGGTCACTATGAGTCAAAGATGACTTGACAGCATTGAACAACAACAACAAAGAGCAAAAAATAACCTATATTTTCTCCAAATATTTAGGTCCAAAACGGAAATGTATTATCTATATGTACTCGTATGCATACCTGAGTACATGTATGTGATGAGCATTCAGAAGCTAGGTACAGGCATACCTCAAAGATAGTGAAGGTTCAGTTCCAGACCACTGCAATAAAGCAAGTATCACAAAAAAAAAAAAGCAAGCCATGTGAATATTTTGGTTTCCCACTCCATGTAAAAGTCATGTTTATACTATACTGTAGTCCATTGAGTATGCAATAGCATTTTGAAAAAGCTTGAAATATTGTTAGAATTACCAAAATGTGACACAGAGACATAAAGTGAATATAAGCTGTTCGAAACATGGTGCCACAGACTTGTTCAATGCAGGGTCACCACAAACCTTCAAATTATTAAAAAAAAAAAAAATGCAGTATCTGTGAAGCACAATAAAGTGGAGTGCAATAAAAAAAGGTATGCCTGCACTATAAAATATTAAGTTACAAATAAAATTTTAGTATTCTAAGTTCCCTTTGCAGCAAAATGTTTGTGTATGCAGAATGATTGATTATAGAGAATAGTAAATACAATGACACAATGACCTACATCATAATACGTCTTACATTCAGATGGTAATTTATGAAGTACACAATGTACAAGGCAGTCCTAAGTCATGATCATAAATCAAGTGGGTTAAATCACAATTTAAGAACTAAAGCATCTGAACTCTGACATATTACATTCCACTTGTCGTGCACTGCTTGATGTGGCCCTTCTGTCCTCCATTCTGTGATGTATTGTAAATCCTAATATCCATGCCTGTTTAGGGTGGTGTGGTAGTTAAGGTTGTGTGTCAACTTGGCTGGGCAGCTGGTAGCAGTTATTGCCTATAATGACTGGGAATCAACTCAGTGGTGAAATATGCCATGAGCAACAGTGTAGCTGCTATTAAACTCCTGATTTTTAAAATCATCCACTTTGGGTATTTCTGTTGAAGGAGCACAAAATAACCAAAACAGGTGGGGTATATCTTGAGTCCCACCTTGCTGGAAGGGGTAACTCAAATCACCACCCTTAGCTTCTGTTCTGGTTACCTAGTGCCACTCTGACAGGAATATACCACAAATGGGATGGCTTGAACAAACAGGAGTTTATTCTTACAATTTGGAGGCTTTAAGTCCAAGTTCAAAGTGCCAGCCTCTAGGGGCTGGGTAAAAGCCCCTCAACCT